TATTAAGGAACTCTAGCAGAAAAATTTTACTGTCATGTTGCATTTTATATTCACTTATACACTTATGACCATACAGTAATTCTTCGATCTGGTTTGATTTTTAATACTTTTAAATATATTTTTTAATTTTATTAATTTTATTTTAAATAAAAAGATGAAGCTTTAATTTAATTGATCTGTAACTTGATTATCACTTTTCATACCTGTCTTCTCATCTATCAGTTGAAAGAGAAAGGTCATTATAAATAAGTTTCGAATGATGACCGAGTTATCAAATCATAGTCTATGTCACATTTCATTTTATGATAACGGAATGGTATTTGAATTGCGCGAAAATATATGATATAGCAATACCACATAATACCATATAAAGCGCATTACATAAATATTAACTATGTAGTATTTCAAGAAAAAATGATATATTGATATTAATATTACGTATTTCAGTACGAGTTTAACATATTAAATGTCATTCGCTTTGTTTAATTAGCATTTACGATCGTATGATCATCTTTTCCAGTTAATGATATATGTAATGTTTCATTTTAGGATTTCGGAACTTGGTTTAATTTAGTTCTACGCGTTTCTTACATTTCTTTAACGAATGGATTTAAATCATTTCGTTTCGGAATATTACTTATTAGTTTCAAATCTCGTCATATTACATTTGCATAATTAATACGATTAAAAAGAACCTGTAAACGTGTATTATAAAAAGAAATGATATATCAGAGACATATCATAGTAGAGAATGTCATAATAAGTACTGTTAAGGTCATAAGTGTATAAGTGAATATAAAATGCAACATGACAGTAAAATTTTTCTGCTAGAGTTCCTTAATACTCTATTGACGCGTAGGAGATGAAACTATTCACTCTATTTTTCATCTCGATTTTCATATTTTACATCAATATTGTAAAATCTTACGCTCTGATCCACCATCTTTTTGAAAAGGACGCGTGTGCAAGGATATACAAACGAGGTGTCGAACAATCAGAACTGGGCAAAAAAGTAGTGAAAGTTAGCTATCAAGATACAAAAGAATGTTTGGAAAGTTTTAGATATAATCGGACGATAGCTGTTACAGTAAGTCTAGAAGAAGTGATGTCGATGACATATTTAAAATCATTAATTTCTGATTGTATATTACCTTTTCACACATGTTACTAAAGACACTTGACACCATCAAAAAAACACTTCAAGGATTTTACCCATTTCTGGAAAAATCAAAAGAAGAACCAGCACCAGAATTTAGTACAAAACCTGTTGATCTCATTAAGAAACTTGATTCGTTACTTGAGAGGGATGATTATGCCACGGATCTTCAGTTTATGGTGAGTTTTTAATCACAATGTCGCGACAATGACACTTCACGTGACTCATATCGGTTTATTATATATTATCGATAAAGGTAGATGTTCGGGACACCGTTGGGTCGCTAAAGGATGGCCATCTTTCTTTCTATTCGGATTGTTACGTGAGCCGATTCGTATTTACACAGCAACTTTATTTGTATTCTACAATTAAAAATAATGAAACTCAGGTATATGCATATAAAACATGTATTTAAAGTTCGATTGATTCGAAATAACTTTAAACATTATTATATAAAGGTAATCCAAGTCCTTGAAGACTTACTAGATCCTAGTAACGATGAGTGCGAAGTTACCAAAATCGATGAACGTCCAGCGATGGAAGTCATCACTGAATTTGCATATACACTTCCAGAATTTAGAGATCTAGGAGTAGCATTTAACAATGCATTAACTTCTTATACTATCATTAATGGAACAAATATTTCACCTAATCCGCCACAATTTACAATGCGTTACAATCTTCCTGAAAAATCTGTCATTTCGTATACATTGACTTGTACTGAAAAAAACTCTACGATAACTGAAAAAACCATCTCGAGAGAATGGGTAGCGATTGATCAAATGCCCGGAATGTTTAAAGATTCAAATACATATTGGAATAAGTTTTGTATTGCGAAAAGTAATGATACGAAGGTATTTGCAGAAAAAAAAAATAAAGAATTTGAATTGAAACGTGGAAAATTGTTATATAGTGAAGATTTTGCAGGTTTTTACACATTGGGCGAAACTGGAATCGTAGTAATTTCATCAGTTCTATCCGAAAGAAGTCGTAATGACATAACAGTTGAGATGGATATGATGAAAGGATTAAATCATGGATTGGAATTGCTTGCCCAGGCACGCGTTAAGAAGGTACTTTATTAATTTTATTTATAATTCTATTTAACAAATATGATAACATTATTTTTAAATGAATAAATTTGGTTTTCTAATAAAGCTTGTGTTAGATTTACAAAATAACTATGGAGGATTTATAGAAGTATCACAATTTGTTGTTCATCGCCTCTTTCTCCAAGTAAATCCATTCTTCCCAAATGACAATTTAGTCACGCCATTGTTTTCCTTATCAGTTCGAAGAGCATCAGAAATATCAGAGTCGATCACTGAGTTCAGTCCAAAGGCATACCTTAATGCATATACGCGGCAACAATTTAATGATGCAACGGACTTTCTTGGCGAAAATTTCCAAACTCGGGGCAATCATAGAGTTCGTACAACAAATAAATATATTGACGCGAACAATACACAAGATTTTCAAAAAATAATTGGATCAAATGCTAAACCGCTTCCGTGGCAATCAAAGGATATGGTCATATTAACAAATGGTTTATGTGGATCCGCATGTGCAATGCTAGCGCAGCATTTATCAGATTACGAAAATGTCAAGACAGTTGCAGTTGGTGGATTCTATAACAGGCCTATGTCATATTCGAGTTTTATCGGTGGAAGTGTATTAGACTTTGTAACATTGATGGGGACGCTGAAAGAATTAAACGTGACAGATTATAATATTGCGCCTAGAGAGTTTTTAATAAGTACAAATTTTAGTTTCACTTTCAGAGAGGTTTATGGATGGAAAGACGAGAGAGAGTTGTTGGAATTTAGTTTTAAACCGGCAAAGGAAAGACTATATTATAACGATAAAAATGCTAGGGACCCTAGTTTGTTGTGGGTTGAGGTTGCAAAATTGATTGATTGATTGATTGATTGATTGATTGAACGATTAGTAAAATAATGCTTGAAATTGTACTGTATACTTATTTGCTTAGTAAATACTAAACACATACGTACGTACGTAGTTCAGATATAAATTAATTGCATGCAAAATACTATATCGATATGTAGAAATATCTATCTTTTTTGTTTAATTGGCCAATAGTCGAGCAACACAATAATTTTATTTGCCTTATAATATATTAATGTTTAATTATGAAAAAAAACAAGCTCCCGAAAAGACATAATACCGACCAAATCAGCCAGTCATTACTATGCTGGTGCGGTTAATTTTATCGAGATTACGTCCCTCGAAAAAATGGTTTTCGATTACATTGGTACGTACGTCATACATACATAACTGTTTAAAGGAGATCTTCTATGATTGCACGACCGTTAAAGAAATTTTTTTAGGAATTTCGGGTAACTTATCCCTTCTATGAAAATGTGTAAGTATCACAAGCAAACCTGAAGTTCTCAGCGTATTTTAATAATTACAGTCGAATCCATTTGAATCCACCAACTTTCATATTACTTGTAGCCAATTACGAAACTACGTTAACAGAATTTTTTTATTGAGTACGCAGAAAGAGCTTGGATAACGAATATAGGAAGAAAAAATTAGAATATATATTTTGATATACGCGTTACATACTAATGAACGTATTATTATTTTCTACTAGTGTACAGCCATGTCATTAAATGAAAGGAATATAAAACTTATAAGGTATTCAACTCGTTATTCAATGAAAATATTCGATCCACCCGCTATTCGATGATAAGTATAAGCTTTATAGAAATCTAATTGCCAAAATTCAGTACTTATAATAATAGTTGAATAACATAAAGACAGTATAGCGTAAGAATCAAACATATACAGTATATATATATTACATATTAATAAATAAATATATAGTATTTAATTTAGAGATAATATAAAATGTACCTATATGTCCAACACTATTATATATATGTTTTTATTAAATTTTCTAATACAAATTTATATTTTTACTTAGAGCATTTCCAGTTTTTGAGATAATGCATGCATAGGTGTTAAACATCATAGATGCATTTTAATAATTTAAGTCAACGAAAGCACGTTTGCTTACCAAATTACAATGTTTAGGGATATTTACCTTTAACCACAAGTTTTAATTAAATTTTTTAAATTTCGATATCTTTATAAAGATTAACCATAACGATAATATTTCTTACATGATAAAATTTTACGATTTTTACATTTGAACAGTCTCTTTTGAAACCATTTTTGCAGTAATGTGATATGGCACATAAGCGAAAAAAGCAATATCGGAAACTGTAGCATTCTGTTATTCTTAGTTATTTGTTTAAAGTTGCAGTAGTAACTTTGTTGATTATCTTGCTAATAAATACTGTATTGGCTAGGTAGTATATCTAATAATTGTTTTTTTTTTTGAGATATTGTGCCTTTGAAACGTTGGGTCTAAATAGTGTTTGTAGTCGATACAGATTTATCGATTCAACTAAAAAAATAAACTAAATCGAATCAATTACTCATTTTATATCAATTTAAATAATCCAAATTTATAAATATAATAATCGACATTTTTATTAACTATTTTATTATTATTACTATTTTTATCATTTATCGCACCTGCGTTGTAACGGTGTAACGTAAAATCAAAACAAACAAACAACGCATTAATTTAGGGTAAGGGTTAGTACTAATGTAGGGTTAGTTTGGATTGTAAGTATATGTCGGTTATACCCAAAATTTTGCAAGGAATTTTTTTTGTTAGAACGCAAAGGGTGGTTTCATAAGCCAACTTATGAGCTACAAGCGATTTTTTCAAAACATCGCTATTTTTTTGATTTCACGTTACACCTGATCTTACAATCTGATTGGTCGATCAGGTGGGTGCGTTACAACGCAGGTGCGGTAAATTATATAACCCTTTTTTTTATTTCAATTATACAATCATTCATAATAATGTTTCAAAGTATAAAATCTTTATGTAAGTCCAGAAGTTTCATAATATATAAACGAAAACGAAATGTCAATAGTACTTGATTTATATTCGTTGGTTTTGTTCATCAAATACCCTATATTTCTATAATAAAAAAAAAATAAAAAAATAAAAGTAAATAATCGTTCATTTGAACAATCAAACAAGAACATTCATAAAGAATTTTCAATTGTTCGATTTTATGCACCAAATTTTCCGTCGAACCGTTACTTATAAAAGCTAATTTTGATTGTAATCTAAACTGCAAAACTAATTACTCATAACTTTAATAAATTGCAAATTATTTGGCCGAATTCAAAATTAAAAAAAACTTTGAACTTGGCCAAACGATTTTCAAATTCGATTAGAGCTAATAAGTAATCAATTTCGTTATTCAGATCACAATCAAAATTCGCTTTAGTGTACAGTCATTACCCTCCAAGCTATATGATGAAGAACGAATGTTCTTCAGCTACGGCTCAGGTCGAAAACGTAATACATATCAATCCAACAACTATTTAGTAACGATATATTACCTTATACGTATTAGCATTTGTTTAATATCTTCTACAGTATATACATTTCGTTGGGCGGTATAAAAGCCATCGAAGCTTCTACACATATTATATAAAATACAAAAAATCAAAATCAAAATAAAAGCGAAGATGAATAAATATAAACAATTTTATCAAAAAAAAAAAAAAAAAGGAGAATTTATTACTGTTTTAAATTTAAGCATCCGAATCAAAATATAGTAATCTTATCAAACTTATTACGTTATCTGTTTCCCCAAAAAGA